TTTTTCTTCTTCTTCTTTTTCTTTTTTCTTTTTCTTTTTTTTTTGTTTTTTCGTTTTCTTTTTTTTTTGTTCTCAACTTGTTTATCCTTATGTTATGTATATACCACGCTAAATAAAGATGAATTAATTGGTCAATTTCACGTTTCTGAAAAAAAAAAGAATTAATTAAGAGGAAGGGATAGAGTAGATAAGGATAAACAGAACGAAAGAAATTGTTCTGCGACGAACAGAACGAAAAAATTCTGCGACGAACAGAACGCGACAAATTGTCGTGCGACGAATTGTTCGTGCGACGAATTGTTCGCGACGAATTGTATGCGACGAATTGTCGTGCGACGAATTGTACTAGTGCCTCTCTTTTGATCTATATAAGACAGACAATGCTAGCTTGTTCCATTGGAGAGGTATAAGGGTCTTCTTGAGGGGGTGGATGTCGGTTAAGAGTGAACTCACACCCGCATCCACAAGGAATACCCACAACCACCCACACTCAATCTCACACCCAGCTCGCGCTCACATGCCCACACCCACACCTGTCGTGGGGTCACCATGACCAAACACTTCTATTGTTTCCTTTGTAAAGGTAATAACGTTTATCTTCAATAAGTAAGTCTGCACCTATCCATTCAACAAGATAGTCCGTGTCAGAATTATTGTCAACATCAACGAAAGTTTGATACAAGTGATAATCTCTATCATACCTTGCCGATAGAATAAGCGATTGTGCCATTTTTACGGCGTTGATTTGACTGATTGAGGATGTGGGTGTGGTTGAGGGTATATTTTCATCGACATCACATGCTTACCCATCACACACCCCACCCAGATGCAATATTTTGATATCTTCCCTGCAACTATAACTAACTATAGGTTGGAACCGAAGCCTGACATGATAGAGTGCTCCCCATACACAGTAAGAAATCGTATACTAGTCACAAGAGCAAGTATATGTCACAACATAGTTCGTACTCTATCGAACGAGTGACTTGTCCAGTGCCATGCAAGGCAGGATGGCATTGGATTTTGCACCCAATAGTACTTTGTCGATACATGTCGTTCAACATAGTCACTCAGCCACACCTGCATTGAAAACTAGAAAGAATCATTTAATAATCATACGTATGATTTTTATCTGTATTTGATAACTTTCTATTGACTTTACTGTCAATATCTCTGCGTACTTTATTTTGCAAAAAGAAAATTAAATAAAACATCTTGAAAAACACCTTTGTCTCATTCTTGTCATGCCACATCATGCGCACTCACTCTCATCGTTATAACAAAAGAAGACAACAAAACAAATTAATAGAAGTATCTAATTTGAAATATACACTTATGCAAGTTTTTTTTCCTTCAAACTCATCATCATTCGAATACTTGCTAGTAGAGAAAATATGTTTGAGCGCCAACGAAAGAAAACAAGCCCAATCACAAAACATAAACAACGCTGACGCAGCTTTTTTTCTTCCTAACGATGTATAAAGAACAAATGATAAGGTATTTATGTACATGAGTTTTTTGTTAGTTTACTAAAAAAAAAGAAAGAAAAAATAAAAAGATCCAATAAACTATTTTTTCCGAACTAGAATTGAGCTTTAAAACATCTTTTTCATTTTCATTTAATCAATGTGTTCGCAATGTAGAAATCACAATACAAGAATTTTATAATTACTTTATTTATGTAAAAACAAAAGAATAGCATTTTTTCTGATTTACAAGTTTCTTCAAGTGTACTAGCAGAAGCTGTATCGCCACTAGGTTCACTGACTTAATATCAATTACCAAAATTATTATGTCTACAACGCATATAAAACAAAAGATTGACTTTGTTGACTACAATGAAATAAGCCTCACATCAGTAATTTGTGAACCATGATCATCTTTGTAAAACGCAACATTGCCACCATGAGCATATCTTTTAAGAAATTCAGGTATAGTTTGACCAACCTAATTAAATCAAAAAGCTCAAAATAAATCTTGAATTTAGAAACTGCATACTTCGCTTAATTTTAATATCAGTCCAGGTACAAGCTTTCGATCAGAATCTTGTTCTGGATCGAAAAATGATATTGATTTACCTAAATAATCAGCACGACCTATAGAAACTGCTGAAGAAATTTCTTTTTTGTCCTTTGATTAATTCTACCTGCTCGACTAATGCGCTGAATATAAAAATCAATATTATTCGGTAAGTCGTAATTAATAACATAATCTATTAAAGGAAGATCTGAACGTCGAGCCGCAATTGATGTTGCAACAAGTATTGGACACTTTCCACTTGTAAATTGTTGCACAGCTTCATTTTGTTGCTGCTGTGTTCGTTTACCATGCATCACTGTAGCCATCAATTTTTTTTGTGAAAGTAATGAACTTATAAAATCGGCTGATCGTTTTGTTTCAACAAATATTAAACAACGCTCGAACTCTAAGCGAAAACGAAATTCGTAAATTCATTTTTTTAAATTTTCTTACTAAGATTTTGTTCGAGTAATTGAAAAAGACGATCTGCTTTCTTTGATTTTGGTACTTCTTCAATTGTTTGTGCGATGTCTTTATTAGCACCATCAATTGCATCAACAGCAAGAAATATATAGTGGTCACGTAGAAAATGTTTGGCTAATTGTTGTAGTTCATTAGGAACTGTTGCAGAAAACATTGATGAAAAACGTCCATCTTTTGGTGGTAAACCAAGATCTTCTAAGTTCCGTATGTCATGTTGAAATTCTATGTCTAACATTCTTTAGGGAAAAGAACAACAAATCGAAAATAGATTTGTTACAATCCTTTTTTTACATACCGATCTGCTTCATCAAGAACAAAATATTTAACTTTTTTTAACGAAAGCTGAAAGAAAAATTTTTCAATTTTCGAATATCAAAAGATTCAGTTAAATTTTACTCGGCCTCTTTCAACCATATTCTTAAGATGAGTGGGCGTAGTGGATAGAATATGACAACCTTCTCCAGGACTATGCGATACAGCATAAATATCATTATCAGCAATAGCAGAACCTTTTGAAATTATAAATTTTAAAATACATTTAGTTTTTTGCATAGCATACAAGGTATCACAGCAGTTTGGTATGCGAATTTTCTTGCCTCACGTTCTATTTGTAAAGTAAGTTCATGTGTAGGCGAAACAATAAGACAAAGAGGCGATGGTAGATCAGGTCGTTCAGACAATGCATCCGCATGATATTCAAGTAAATTTGCAATGATTGGTAAAAGAAAAGCAGCCTCAATAATTATCTCATTTACAGTCGATGCTTCTAAAAAACGAAACTTACTGTTTTACCAGATCCTGCTTGAGCGCAAGCCATCATATCATCTTGTTGTCGTATGCAAGGTATTGTATAGCGTTGAATAGCTGTTGGTTCTTTAAAATGAGCAAGACGAATATTTGATAAAACTTGTGTACCAAGATTAGCTTCTTCATATAAGTCAATTGGCTTTACTTTGTCTTATGAAATAAAAAGAAAAAATTATTGAATTGAATATAAGAACAAAGAATATTTTGTTACTTAATGGTGTACAACGAACTTGTGTTTGATGGTATTTTCCAAAGTGTTCATCCTTTGTAACTGCTTCACCAAATATACCATGTTCAGTTGTCGACGGAGGTGGTGAAACACAGCGTTCAGTAGGTTGAGCATCAGTACGACCACCAGCTATAAAAAACATGATTAAGATTATTGTTCTATCTTATTTATATATACTTACGTTGATCGAAAATGTCATCAGAAGTCTGAATGAATGACTGAATTCTTTTATTTTTCTTTTCAAAGCAAATGTTAACTTACTCGATTACTATATCTGCGACCACCATAACTATTGAAACCATCACCACCATCATCTCAAGGATATTACAAAAGAAAAAAGACTTCAAGAATATCAAAAATAAATTATACCACGAGTTTTTCTTTTTTCAGGACAATCACGAAATTGATGACCAGGTTTATGACTATTAAAAATAGCAAGTTAACAAACGTGAACATACCACCAACAAATAAAACATACCAAATGTAACAATCTAAATAAAAAAGAACATTAGATAAAAACTAAACACATTATTTAAATAAAATCAATACTTACTGCAGTCGCCGCCGCGACCCCCACGATTATCTACAGGGCAAAGACAATCAAGTTTTTCATATTTCGTTAAAAATATCTTACCACTAGTACCTGAACTGAATCGTCCTATGTGTCGGCATCCACGACCTTTACTACATTATTTGTTTTTCTATGTAAAAAGTAAAGATTAATTTTTACCTCGAAATCCAATGCCACTTCTATTAAAACCACCACGGGTTGTTGAATTAATCAATGTTGTACTTGTACTACACTCATCGAAATCATTATCATTAGCTGTTTTACTTGCTGTACAACCTTGCAAACCCCTAAAACTTGCTTTTGCATCACTGTAATGATCTTCATGTTGATTTCTCGAATTACATAATCTTACAGGTTTGGATGACGTGTCATCTTTCGTCGACGACACAATATTAGTGTTACAATCGCCACCGCTTGAGTTTAATCCGCCACGAGCGCTATTGCTTCGTGAATCAAACCCACGACGGTTGCTGCCAAAACTGAAACCTCCACGGCTTCCACCACTGCCATCGCTGCCATCACCACGACTATCTACAAGGGAAAAATAATCGAATTTTCATATTTCATTAAAATTTTCTTACCATGAACATCTGAATTGATTTGTCTTCTACGTATGACTTGATGACCTTTACTAAATAATTTGTTTTTCTATGTAAAAAGTAAAGATTATTTTTTTTTACCTCGAACTCCAATGCCACTTCTATTAAAACCACCACGAATTGTTGAATTAACAAATGTTACACTTGTAATAGACTCGACGAAATCATTGTCGTTAGCTGTTTTATTTGCTGCACCACCTTGCGAGCCACTAACTTTTGCTTTTGCATCACTGTCATCATTTGCAGATGACAAGAAGCCAATGTTACAAACGTTACCACTTGAATTATAACCATCAGTGTTCCTATTGCTGTCATTGCAATTACCATCACGATTTTCATTTTGTGAGTCGGGATATTCTTGGCTCATATGATCAGCCTCACTATAATTGTCATATTCTTTAAAAGAAAAAAAGGACGATTTCAATTAATACTTCGCAATTCTTCATGTTGAAACATCTTGAATTGCTTATTTATCTGAACTATACGCTTAATACGAAAATTATCATCGGTACCTAATTCAAACGGTCTACCGCCACGACATTCGTCTCGAGTTGAAAAGAAGATTTCACTTGATAGACGTAAAAACCAAATCGAAAGTAATCATCGCGGAAACCACGGCTCCTTTGCAAACCAATACCTCCACTACTATTCAAATTACTCTTTTCATCATTTTTATTACTACAGAAACTACGTGAGCGGTCGATTGTTCCACTACCACTAGAATAGGTATCGATATCAGGGTGTATTTTTTACTCTTTCACATCCGCTGTACATACCCATAATTTAGACATTCACACCCAGGATAAGTACTATGTGAGAAAAAACATTTTTCATCGTACTTTTTATAATTTATCTTTTTTTTGGGTGTAGCTCTTTCATTACCACCTGTTTAAGTTTGATACTCGAAATATTTCAGTTTCGACTGTTATCATTCGAGATTTCATTTTAATCTTTACTATTTGGATTAGAAGCTCCAGTATTTTGTCAAACTAACAACAAAGCCACTCAATATTTGACGAATCTATATCAGTGCACTATGACATTCGTTTTATAGTATGTAACTCATTTTCGCCGATATTTCATTGTTTTCGCAAGAAAACCAATTCCAAAACTTTTCATAAATGAAAGAATATATGCTGCAAGTATATTTCATACATCTAAATGACTTAACTTGAGAAATGTCCGTCATGGTACAGAAATTCTCTCTATTTTCTCAGGAATTCAGAAATCAGGTGTTTTCATCTGGATGAAAATGCTTGATATTAGTTGATTTATAGTTCGAAATATGCAACAAACGATGTAGATCTTCTTATAGAACGATTCATAGCATATAGCTCTACTCCATGGCTATCACTGGGTCAATTGTGTTATAATTACTGGATGGTCATTTGCTTTATAGCTACTAGGTCTGGAAACAGGTCTCGCAACCCAAAATGATTTCTTATGGTACGCGTAATTAAAATTTCTGTTGAGCCACTTATTCGAGTTTATCTTTTCCAAGGAGACATTTATACGCCTTGAAAATTATAACAAGCAGTAGACTTTGGTGTACAAGTGTCTTATTAATTTCAGTTAGCAATAACTCAGACAAAAATATCATTTCGTTCGATCGTGTTCATCTTTGACGCAGAAAGGTAGTGTAGTGTAAATCGTATTCGGTGGTATCAGTACTATTGAAGTCAAATGTTGTTGATAATAGACTAAACTAGAGCAACAAATACGTGCTTATTTTTTGTGTAACAGTTTCATGAGAGACAAAAAGTACAAACAGAGAGGGAAAAATAGTATGAGTCAGAAAGAACGCTATTAACTAACAATAGCAGTGGTTCTATGGATATATCTATGCTGTAGCCAAAGAGACGACAGAAAAAAAGAAAGCAAAAGAAAATAAATAGAGAGAAAATAATAGACAATTGGCAGGTTGTAACGACGAACTGGATGGAGTAGCTTACTGCCACCCTAGACAATGTTGTTGATTTAGCTACTTCACGTATCCAAAATGTGACTTCTTCACATTCAACACAAGCTTATATCGGAGAGAACAACCAAGAGAGACAAATACAAGAAAGAACAATACAATAATAAGGAGAGATGAACAAAGACAAGAATGATAGGAGTAAGATCAGAAGGAAAGAGACAAGTTAAGGATATGTTATATGCATATTGGCACACAGACGATTATCGTTCACATAAACTTAACAGTACAAACTGCAAAGGTCAGTCTCATCGACGACAAGCAACAGATCATAGAATAGTTTACCTCTCAGAGATGTTTATCAATGTATGATAGTTTTCATCAAAGTAGAGTACTGAAGACGATATCTTTTTTGCTCAGTTCAGTAGGAAAGTTTTTTTTATCTCTTATTTTATTTTGTACAAGCGTCAGAACTACTGAACCTTACGGTTTATGCCCGATTATTTCTTCATAGATGTGTCGATTCAGAAATCTACAAGTTTTCAGAGTTCATGAAAATCTGATACGTCTCTTATCAAGTAGTATTAATATCCATTTCAAAATAGAAGAGCAGTGGGTATTTTTCGAATAACTTTTCATAGAAACAATATAGACTGGTGCGGTTTTCACCATTAGAAAGAGAAAACTTAGAAGCATCAATCCATCTCAAAATATGATTGGTTGATAATGGACCAATCAGGTGTAATCTCGACAAAAATGTTGAACATCTCTACCTGGAGACATTTTTCATTTCAATCCTGCTTATGAATTTAT